TTTGAGCCACTGCATCCCCTAGTGGCGCTCAGTCTCCTGCAGCCGCGCGGCCCGCCGAGGTGGCCGGGGCGCACAGGGGTCAGGCGGAAGAAGACTCAGGTTCCACCGTCCGTTCCCCCAGCACAAAGTGTGAGATGAGAGAGCGAGAGTTCTCCCGCAGGCTTTCCCACGGACAGCACTAAGAGCTTGATGTGGGTTCTATTTGAATGGAAGACATTATTCCCTTTTCGCTCCTCCACCCCATAAAATTCCGTCAAATACAAAAATTGGAGCTGGAGGATTCCTTTCATGCAAAAACATCGATATTCAAATTCAGCCTTCACTCGGTGAGGGGGAGTTGTTTTAATACACAATCCTTATAGAAAGATGAGTAACATTTATTTTGAATAAGTGGTGAAAACGTGGGTCCTCCGGGTCTTGGATTTGGAGTTTCTCTGGAGTCTCCATCTCCTTAAACCTGGTGTTTGTTAGAAGTCGGTGGAACAGGAAGAAAATCCCTAAATGAAGCACCACCACCACCACCCAACCACCCGGTTCCTCCTGAGCCCGTTTCGTCCCCGGCTGTCAGGACGGCCCAGTAAAGGAGCATCGATCTTCCTTTCTCTCTGACCACTGCTCTCTAGGGCCAGTCACGCTGCCAGCCTCTGCTGCTCACAGCGCTCTCCAAACCTTTTAATTATTTAGCTTCTAACATTCACCGGAAACCGCTCCACAAACGGGGACAGAGGAACGCGCACACACATTTTTGCTAAAAGTCCCGAGGTTGAGATTAAGAATGGAAGCAGAAAAAATGAACAGCGCTTCTCCGAGCGTCAGTCCAGGACCAGGATAGATGCGGGCCTGACCGCTGTCCAAAGCCACCCCATTCCTGGAGGCCGCGAAGGATAAAGGGAGCCTGTCCTGTGGAGAGAAGTGCTGCCCACGCCAGAACTTGGACATGTTAACTTCTGAGGCCGAGAGCGATTTTTAAAAGACAAAGAGAAAAGATGTGTGAGAAGGAGGCCTTCCGGTGTAGCGGCTCCTCTCTGATAACCTACTATACTGGGGTTGGGGGGGGGCATTATTCGTTTTAATTAAATCACAGGCACCCAAGTCGGGCTGCACTGGGATGGAGAACCCCCACCCCCCGACCACCCTGAAAAAAATGAAAGCTCTGTAAGGCCCCTCCAGGTCTGGGTGGTTTGGAGCTGGCAGGGAGGCGCGGGGGCTGCGGCTGGATACCCGGTGCAATGGAGCCAGCCTGTAGGGGGTATTTAACATTTAATTCCCAGCCGGTCCGCCCCTGTTCCCGGACTGACAGTGGGTAATTGGGAAAGAGGACGTTGCTCTTTTGATGGCCCGCGCCGGCCAGTCTCGCCGACGCCACACTGTGTTTGACGTCACGGGCCCAGCCCCAGAGCCGGGAGCACAGAGCAGGGGGGTAGCGGGGGGGAGGGAAGGAGGAAAAAGGAGAGGAGAGGGATACCGGGGAGGGTGGGCCGAGGTCGGCCTTGGGACCCACGGGAAGGAAGGGGGAAGGGAGCGCGGCTGGAGAGAGGCTGCGGCGCTTGGCCTGAGGCGGAGGGGGAAGGGGGGAAAGGTGGTCCTGATTCCCCTCTGCCATAGCCCGCAGAGCAGATCCTGGCCTCCTTGCGGAGCCGCTCAGCGCCCTTCTGCAGACCTGACAGCCCCTTCCCCGGGCACCTCTGCTTGGCTGGTCTGCGAGTCCCCCCTTTTCCCCGGGAGCAGCCGGGAGGAGGAGAACGCGAGGAGAAGACCGAGGAGGATGCTGTCGCCCTGGGCTCCAGTAGGGCGCGAGGCCTCCCTCACCAGGGTAAGGGGCAGGCGAGTGGCTTGGGTGCCTGGGACCCTGGAGGCAAGCCTCCAGAAGCCGAGCAGATAACGGCGCAACCACCGCCCGCCTACCCCTGCCCCCACCCCCAGGAGCCGAGTCCGAGCGTGGGGCGGCGGGAGCCAGTGTGGCCTGTTTGCAACGCCAGGCCTCCAGGCGGCTGCTTTAGGCGTCAAGTTGAGCGAGGTGTGTGTGCCCTCTTGGGGAAAGGGTAAGAAATGGAGCCTTACTTTCTCTCCTTGGTTGGGCTCAACTGGGACCAAA